GGAGTTTAGGGAGTTTAGGGAGTTTAAGGATGTTGGGTTTAGGGTTTAACAGGTTGTGGGTTTAGGGTTCAGGGCCAAGTTTAGGATGTGGCGGCCTAGCGTCTAGGGGATTGACAGAGTTAAGGGAGTTAAGAGGGTTCGGGACCGCTCGTGTATTTAGGGCTTAGGGAGTTCAAGGGGAGGGTTAGGGATAGCTCGGGTTTTGGATAGAAAGGAATTCAGAGGTCAGTGTGTTTTGTTCTCGAACTCCTCCCGAGCTCGGGGGCGAGACTGCTTTGCATGGAACTAAACCGTAGTCAAGCCCGACCCCCCTAAGTTAAGACCCTCAAAGCTTGAACCCCCATAGGGGTTTGGAATTTTCAGGGTTTTGGGTTGAGCCTTAAGCCTTGAAGCCTAAACTCTGAAGCGTCTGAACCCTACAGCTACTACCGGGATCAGCTGGCAGAAGGTTTTGATGGCTTCAGCCGATGCTTCAACAAACCCGTCGGCTGACCGACCGAGACATCATACATCCGCTGTGCTCCCAATAGGCCCAGGGTGTAGAGGTTGAGGGTTGTGGGTTTTGGGTTGATGCCTTGCCGTTTAGAGTTTGTGGCGTAGGACCCAAGTCAAGCCCTACGCACACCAGCAAAAGCCATCAACACTCAACCCCAAGACCCGAAGACCCTAAACTCAAAGTCAAAAAACCCATACAAGCAAACAACCCTTACCTAAAAACCCTCAACCCCAGGACTTGCAGACCCCATAAACTCTAAACTCTAAGCTGTAAACACCATCCAAGATGCCTTTCAAGGCTCGCCACCACGACGACCTCCGGATTTTCGTGTTGTTTGAGATTGGCCTGGAGATATCCCATTTCCATGCCTGCCGGCGCCGATTGAAGAGTTCGGGGATCAGGGTTTACGACTTTGGGGTTTATTCAGCAAATCCCTTTTGGCAATCATGGCTACCACAAGGGACAAGTGTAGGTTAATTAGGGGCAATGTTTTGTTGCTCAGAGGCTTTGGAGTAGACATGAGGGGGGCAGCTTGACCCATTGTTTATAGTTTCAGGCGGCTTGACGGCTTTGGAAAACAACCACTAAACCCTAAAATCTACTCAGCTTCTTTAGGCCACCCAGATCGCTTATCGTTGTGAGAGCTTGAACCCGCAACTTGACCCAACATCATACCGCATGCCGCAAGCGGCATTGCAAAAACAACTCACGCCTGCCATGCTGCAAATCCCATTTCCGAAGCTCCGTCCAAACAGATAACACAAGCATCTGCCCAAGACCCGAAACGCTGCAATACACCATGCTCGCAGCCCCAAAATGAGCATATCAGATCTAAACCTGAACTTGAAAAATAAAAAACACAAAATATCACATCACAGAAATTGAAAGCACACACCACAAAGGGATGGAAACCCTGAACCCGGCTGCCTGAGGTGATTTCCAAAGACCGCTGAGCTCGGCTAGGTACTCCGGATTGAAGTCCATGCTCCGCTTGCCCCTCGGTTTGAGGGTTTAAGGTTTAGGATTTAGGTTTGGGTGTTCAGGGTTTTTCAAGTTTTGGGTTTTCGGGGATCAGGGGCTTAAACCCATTTCAAGGCTTTGGGAGCTTAGACTTCCGAGTGTAGCTGTAGCTGTAGACCCTAAACCCCCCCAAGCTAAAGTGGGTTTTGCTAGTTGTCGGTCGGGAGCTAGAAAGTTTTGGGGACGGAGGTTTCTTGGGGCGTGGAGTTGGAAGCAGGCGGTCCAGGCCGTAACGTTGTTTGAGGCTGTTTGCAAAGTATGTAGCACTGGTATGAACAATCATGCTAATTAACCATAAAAAAAAAGCAACAGAACCTATTCACTGCCTTTGTTTAGGGGTTGTGGTTTCAGGACTGATGCCTAATGAAAGAAGACGTCGTGCGAAAGAAATGATCTGGTCTGCCGGCATCTACACTGAAAGGTGCGTAGGGTCACGCGTGGGGTCACAGATTTTTCACGAGCTACAAGACGGGACAAGTCCTCACCATTGCGATTGTTAGTTAGTATTATGTTCACGGTTGAGATAAGTATCAGAATAACCGACCTTCAGGACACTAAGCAAGGACAACATTCCCGGATCCGCAAGGTAGCTTCGGAACCTCAAATACTATAGAATCTATAGAAAGCTCCAGGAATGTCCAGTATTAGTCCATAGGGTTCCACAGTACAGAAGTAGTGGTGGTAGCAATGGTACTTGTTGTTCTTGCAGCGTAGTCGTCGTAGCAGTAACAGTAAGTCATCAAGCGTCAAGCTCCGGAATCCCGGAACTGCACTTCACCCAGATGAACCCGAGATTCAAATGTAATCCCCCAGAATATCAGGATTCAGAAAAGGAACCCCAACAAGGACCCAAAGTTTCTATTCAGGCTCCTACATTACTTGTTCGAACCCTGACAATTCGAACTGCAGAGCTGGCGGCGCGTTCTCCGAAAGGAACACCCGCGCCGCTGTAACCCTGATGCAGAGTTCAGGGCTTTAGGGCTTTGGGTTTTAAGGTTTTGGGTTTTGGGGTTTAGGGTTTGGGTTTACGAAGTAAGACGTCTTCATGCGTAAATTCGAAACATCCTAGACGGAAAATTTTTGGTTTTCGATCCCGATATCCCCAAACAAAACCCAAAAAACGCTTCTAATTAAACCCCATGATCTACGCCCTGAGCCTAAACAATGCAGCTTAAGCCTTTAAGCCCTCAGTTCTAAAGGCCTTGGATTGGGCCCGTTTCGAAAACTCTTGTAGTGCTGTTCGACCCCTTGGCTTTCTTTTGTTCAAGCTCCAACGGGCCTTGGGTTTAGGGGCTTTGTACCCACAGTAGCAGACTCTTTTCCGGGCCAGCATGCCTGCTTTAAAGGCACATAGGGGTGGAACTCAGCACCGAACTTACCTACGGAGCAATATGGTGACACATCCGAGCGACCGCGCAACCGACGAAAAACTTCAAGGTTCCGAAACATCTTCCATCCTATGATCGTTGCTCCCATCGACAATCCTCATATCCAAGGCAGCATCCACCCATTAACCCGGTTGTCGCCCTCCTCGTCATCTCGTTTTTTAAAATCTCGGCCGCGTGATCACCCTAACCGGACGGCAACTGGATGACATCCTGCTTTCCCAAGCCCTGTTTTTGGTTCCCCGAATCCTGTTCATGGTCCACCGGATCCTGCTTCCCGTCCAGTGTGGTTCCCAGCAGCCATGTCATAGGAGGAGGCCGAAGGAGACCCGGACGGGCCATTCCAAGTGTTGCAGCCTGTCTCTGACAGGAGTGCGGACTCTGTTTTCCATGGGCAGGTAGGTTGGGCACCACCCCATGAAGGTGAAGTAGGGGCCACATTTCTGCCACAATCGGCGATGCAACTCGCACCTCGTTACCCACATTTTCTTCAAGCACCGCTGCCACCGTTGTAACGCCTGCAACCTCCGCCACGTTTGTCATGCTCCTCCCACTGCTTGCGGCAACATGTCGATCACCAAATCCGGAATGTTCTTGGTCGGCAATGCGGGAGTCTGGCGAGCAGTGAAGCACTGCGCACAGAAGCGTCGTCAAATCGGACGTCGCGGTCTTAGGTGAACAACTCCAGAACCCTCTTGAGCGAAGGCATGAGCTGCACGAAGATGTCCTGCGTCATCTTCTTGCTTAGCAAGTGGAACTGGCTCGTGGACACCGGAAGCTTGTCTACGGCAGGGCTAGCATCCACATGGTCATAGGACCTGCATTCGAGCAGCTCCAAGATGTGAGCCGCGACAACCGGGCGCGGGCGGAGCCTCTCAACCAACCGTTGAAGGCTGCTTTCTTTGGGTCATCTCCATTCGCAGAAGTTCCTGCTTCTGAAGCTTCTCAATCATGACCTTCTGCTTCTTCTGCCGCTGCTCGGCCACCTTGTTGCCGCGCCTTTGGCCCATTGCCACAAACAGTACGGATCTTACGGCCCGAACATACACGTTAGCACGCCACGCGCTCGCAAAATGCGGCTCCTACATGCCTCTTTCTGGTAGCTGGTTCTCGCATGGCAAAGCACTTGAAATCGTCGCGAGCCTGGTTGCGTCCGAGACTGTTGTACGCGAGTTCGGCACCACGGCACATGTGTCTCGCCGCACGACTTCGCAGTCACTGGGCAAGACACACGCACGGATCTGTCCTGTACAACCCCAGGCTATTAATTGTTGCGTGCCCCGATTCAACGCCGCGGGGGTACAAAGTACATAGTGTTTTTGTTACCCTGCTGTCCGGTTTCGGGTTTACGGCTTGCCGGGCGCGTGTGCATTGCCTTTCGAGAACCACAAACACGAACTGTGATTCAGACGACCTGCCCTGCGTGGAAGCACCTCCACCGTTTGTGGCATGGCGTGCGCTTGCCGCTTCTCACCTGCCCGTATCCATCATCGCCAGAGCCCGTGCCGCACGAGCGTTCATGCTTGGGAGATCGGCGCTTTCAGTCCGTGACCCCCAGAATCACAAGCTCAACTGCCCGTTCTCCGTCGCGGATGTGCAACCTTTTCGTGTGCGACGATGGGAAACATGCCAGCCTCCTGGAGATGCCTCCCATGCTCAGGGGAGGCACATGCGCAGCTGCCCTGTGACAACGACGATTGTGCATCGGCAAGGAGATTTCTGTTTCGTTCTCCCTGCGAAGAGTTCTGTCGCCTGGAGCAAGGCTGTTTGCTGCTGCAGCTGCTCTTCCGTCGCCTCGAGTTTCAGGCTAGTGCAAGGCTTCGGGAAAAGCAGGGTTCTCCAATGGAGAGAAGGTTTTTTGCTGAACAACAGTCAGTTACAAAAACAGATCCCAGTAGGGCCGCAGCCTACATCCCTTACCCTACACCCTACCTATTCACAAAATCCCTGATTTGCCCTGCAAGCGCCCAGACTCTATAAAAGCACGCCGTACGTCCGCACAGCTACTGAAACTCCTAAAAAAAACTAAACCCTCGGCAACATTAGACTCAAAGGAAAATCCAGAAACCCTGAGCACGCTTGCATTTTGAAGCCGCCGTTCATGCCCTGGGAGCTGTGACATAGAGATGCTGTCCGGTGGCGCCACTGAGCGCGATCAGCTGACTCCTGGCTTGGGGCTCACATCTATGGGGTTTCGGCTTGCAGAACTATGAGCTAGGGTACAGCCTCAACCCTAGGGTTTCGGGCTCATCTATGGGTCGATGGGCCCTAAACAATAGAACATGCTTCAAATCTCCACCCTAAGACATAGAATCCTGCGAACCCTAACCCCTAAACTCTATATCCCAAAAAACCCAAAGCCCTTAACTTAACCTTTAGGCTAAACCCTAAACCGTTGAACGGCGAAGCAAGATTTACGATGCTGGATTGGGAGATCGGCTCAGGGCCGGCTGAAGGCTTAAGGATTTGTGGAATATGTGGGGGTTTCAGAAAATAGGGGACCCTAATATAGTGACCTAAATAGTAGGATCCTTATTATAAGGACCCCCAAATAGGATACCCTACTGTAATTTCGGAAACTCCCATATGTAGGGTTTTTCAGGGTCTAGAGTTTAGGCCTACATGCTGGACCAAGGTCGATCCTGCCGGAGAGCGGGCTTTCTGGTGCCACAGCAACTGCAAAGGCATCCTGGCATTCCTCCGGGAGCTTGTGGGCTGAATATGAAGGGGCCTGAATAATTCGAACAGTGTTTCGCATTACATTCAACTATAGAGAAACCCAGAGTTTTCTTTTAAATTTTAAAGTGTTCTATAAGGGGTATTCTCGGGAGGTTAGTAGTGGGACCTTCATGATTAGAACAGGGTTGCGAGCTCTTCCTATGGTATGATTGTCGTAAGGAGCCCCAAGGAATACTGTTAGCAATTGATTCAGACTTCTACATTAAGGTAGTGGTTTGAAATCGGGGAAAGGTGGGGTGCCAGCCGGGGCGGTTACTGGGTTGGGTTTCCGCTTACCGCTGATATCTCTAATATTACGTTCTTTAAACTTATGTAATCTGCATAGCAAGAGAACAGAAGCGAAGACCAAGACCTTCCTCCAATCAGACTACCAGCTGCTTGATGTCGTAATGCTTGAAGGATCTATTGCTGTAAAGAAGAGACCTGTGTCAGTTATGCAAGTTATGCTTGTAGACATTATAGGGGGCCCCTTATTTCGAGGGAATCCTTGTCGTACAGATGCTACTTCTCGGGGGTTTAGTTTGGAATCCCACGCTTTCTGCGGTCTGCAAAAACGGGGTCTCGGAACACGTAGAATCGAAGAAGAAAGGAGCCTTAGTATATTGTAGTATAGTTATAATAGAAGGACCTTACTATAGTAATCTTGATTATCGAAAGCCTTACTATAGTGTACTATCTTATCTTTAGTCTTGGGAAACGAAACTCGGCACACCTCTTGCGAAGCATCTCGAAACACTTGACCCGACAGTCGTACCTGCGGATTCTGCAAAACTTTACGCTTTGTGCCTTCGGTCGATCTAGGGCCATGCTATGGCAGCTTTTGGTAACCATCGATGCCCACCTAACAAATCGAACTCTGATCTCCAACAGCGACGAAATCGAGTTTTGCAAAAAGGACTTCCATCAGACCCTACGTAGTTCCTAAACCCTGAACCCCTGACCCCCAATCCCAAAACCCTAAGCACCCAAACCCGACACCCTAAACCCAAACCCCAAACCCTATAAACTCTGAACCGAAAACCCCTAAACCCTAAACCCTAAACCCTATACCCTAAACCCTAAACTTTAAAGCTGCTGGGCTTCCGCAAGGCCATCCCAGAACTCTTCGGACTGCTGCGTCCACGACACGCCATCAGCGGAATGCCAAACCTCCAGGCTTTTGGGTTCAGGGTTTAGGGTTGAGGGCTCAGGGTTTAGGGTGTGTATACAGTGTGCCCGCGCACCCACTTCTCGCGCGCTTGCGTCAGCATGTCCCGCCCCAAACCACCCCAACTATTCTCAATTAGGGTGTAAGACTCACCCCCCAAACCCCCCTCAATGGAGGCTTTCTTGCTAAGCGCTTCCGACAAGCAACCCGTCCCTCGCGCGCTGTGAGGGTCGCTCTCGAAGTGTAAACATGGTACCGGGTTGCCGGCGCTGCCGGAAAAGCAGCAATTTAGGGTTTAGGGTTTAGAGTTTAGGGTTTAGGCTTCAAAACGCCGGACCCTGCCTGAGGCAGGCCAGGGAGGGGAAAGTTTTTGCCGTCTTTTCCGATCCCTGGAAGCTGCCAACCCGAAACCCCATACCCCCCCCCAAAAAAAAAAAACCGTGGTCGGCAATGGTAACAAGGGGCTGAAGCCCGGTGTAGCCGTTTAGGGCTTTAGAGCTTTTGCACAAAGGGTTTAGGGTTGAGGCTTTGTTTCAGGGTTGAGGGTTTATCATTACCATGAAGAGCTTTTGGACTAAGGGTTTGGGGTTAAGGGTTTAGGGGTTTAGGATTTAGGGTTTGTCATTAGCTTGAGGGTTCAGGGTTGCGACTTCTAGGGTTTGGGGATAAGGCTTCAGAATCGAAGTGATAGGGTTCAGGGTAGGGGAGCGTGGTGTATACTTGACGGATCAGGGTGGAAGGGTTTTGTTTAAGTGGGTGGTACGCATGGCTAGGCATACCCTACTTGGCATCGCGTGACGACAGCATTGGTAAGTTCTATGGACCCTAGGAATATAGGCGTCAGCAAGTAAAGATGCTCTGTCCCTGCTTGAGAAATTAAGATTCGCAGTTCCCCACAACGTCCTAAGATTCGCAGTTCCCGATAACGTGAAGCCCTTCATCTCCAAACCTTCGTGTGCAGCCTGAAAATCCCCAAGCCAGTTCGGGACATGGAAGCCGCAAACCTTAGGGTTTCGGGTTCAGGGCTTGGGCTTAGGGCTTAGAGTTTCGGGTTTCGGGCTCGGGGTTTACGGACGTTTTTTATAGAGGATGTCAAACTACCTGGGCCCCGCACGTCCACGGTGTAGGGCATCTGGCTGTTCAGGAGCCACTTTCGTGGGATGGTTCCAACACTACCCGGGTCGACGAAGCCCAGCACGACTTCCTCACTGCCAGAAACACAGCAAGGACCAGCTCGGACATCCCAAGATCAAGACATGCCAGTACATCCCAAGAACAGCGCCAAGAGCCTAGCTTTCAAACACTAAACCCTCATACGGGAATTCCCTAAATTGCAACATGTTTAGGGGTCCTGGCTCCAAGCCCCACCGGCACTTGCGCAATCCGCCGCATACAACCCTGAACTCTAAGCCGCCTAAACCCTAAACCCTAAGCCGTAAACCCTAAACCCAACCTAAACAAGAAGAACTTTCCTTCAGTACTCAACCCTTAGCTCTTCAATCCTTACCCTGAACACGGGCTCTAAACCTTTACATTGACGAGTTAGATGTAAGACATGGATGAATGTAAACATACCCTGAACCCTGAACCCCAAACACTATACAAACTCAATTAGAGCAAAAACCCTAACCCGTAAACCCGAAACGGTATTGAAACAAGCCTGAATAGTTACGAATACAATCCGTAGAGTTCCCTACATCATAGCTATGACAGCTATGATATGTGATGTAACAGTGATGTGCACCAAAGCAACGCTCGAATCCTTACCCTAAGGGTCCAAAGGACCTAAAAATCATGTACTTGGGCTACGGATAGTAGTTTTGTAGGTTAGTGCTCAGAAGAGTATATGATTATTGATTACTTGGACCCTTTGGGTTAAGGCCTCCTAATATAGAGGCCTTAATATTTAGAACAGGGTTTTGGTGTACACTATACTATACTTCTAAGAAGGAACCCACTAAACCCTATTCTAATTATTAAGGCCCCTACATTACACACCAAAAACCCTAAACCCTAAACCCTAAAACCTATAAACCCTAAACCCTAATCATTAAGGCTCCTACATTAAGTTTCTTCTGCTAGCAGAGACTCCCCAGCCGGCAGCGCATCCAGACCCCCACCGGGGATCGCCTCGAAGGCTGAGAAGTCCTCGACACGTTCAGGCTTCAAAGGTAGGGTTTCGGGTTTAGCGTTTAGGGTCTAGGGGTTTAGGGTTTAGGGGTTTAGGGTTTAGGGTTTCGGGTTTAGGGTTTCGGGTTTAGGGGTTGAGGGTTTAGGGCTGAGGGTTTAGGGGTTTGGGGTTTAGCGCCCTCCTCTGCTATGTGTATGAGTATCCAAGCCGCCATGAACCCTAAACCCTAAACCCAAACTTCTAGGCATCTCGGCTAACCAGGTGCA